GCCATCAAAAAGTCCTTTCAGCTAACTTTCATTATTTTTCCCTTGGGCTAAAATAGTAAAAGCCACAATTTGGCCAGAGAAGCAGCCTAGCTGCTTTGCACAATTCTGGTAAGTCATTGGCACAATGCTTCTACATCCAGCACTTTGGGATAAAAACAACATAAGGATGGGATATGAGACGAACTAGAGAATAATGTCCGTATTAGCCCAAACTGGCAAAAAAAAATGCCCCTGTGGTTATTATCCAACATAATGAATGTTACTGCAACATTATGAAACATAACAGGTTTTACCATTTGCATCTACTGCTGGGTGCTGTCTGTTTCAGAGGGGAAACACCACTTATAAATCTGGTACAGTTTAGGATTATTAAAGCTGGCTCACTCATGGGCTGGAGTTGCCGTGAAGGTAATATCATGGGTCAGGGTAAAAAAAAGAGAGAGAGAGAGAGAGAAGGTGCTGCCAAGCATGTTTATTTCATGGTTTGGTAGAAGTGGGAAAGACCCTAAGCCTGATTAGATTAGCCTCTAATTTAGCTACTGTACCAACTAAGACCCTGTTTGGTGTAAGATGTCAAATTAGAACCAGGAGACTGTGAGTTCTAGTCCCATCTTAGGCATGAAGTCATCTTGGTGTCCTTGGGCTAGTTATTCTCTCTCAGTCCTAGGAAAGAGGCAAGGGCAAACGACTTCTGAAATCTTGCCAAGAAAATTGCAGGGTCTGGTCCAGGAAGTTTCCAGGAGTGAAAATTGACTTAAATACACACAGAAAGAGAGAGAGAGAAAGAGAAAGACAGACAGACAAACAGATAGACAGAGGCAGACAGAGGCAGAGAGAGAGAGAGAGAGAGAGACTAAGACTAAGACTAAGACTAAGACTAATTGGACTATAAAAATGAAGAAGGAAAAGATGCAGTAGGAAGAGTTCTTACATTTGAGTCTGGTCTCTACATTTCTGGTGTATGGCCCTCAACACAAGCTGTATCCTTTGACAGAAGACAGGTGTCATCTAAGAAGACAAGAAACTCAAGATAAGATAAGAAACCCAAGATAAGAAACTCAAGTACACCCTCCCTCATTTTATCTATATACCATTGGCCATTAAATAATTTCTATTCTGGGTTCTTTCAATTTCCATTCACTCTTAGAAGCATTTTTAAGCATTTTTTTTTCTTTTAAGGCTCATTAGTTTGCCATAAAGAAGACTATGAAGGAAGACAATTCACTGCAACCATATTCAAACAGCTGAAAGTTCACTTAGACATGTCAAGAATATTTTAAAACTTCTGCTCAATATGGAAATATCTCTAAATATCTCCACAGCATTGGGCTATGAATGATCCCAGAGGCCTGACCTCAATAACAGTGAGAGCTGACTACCCTGTTTTAGTTGCTTGTAGCATACCTGGAGGTTGATTTCTGGGACTGATTCAATGAGGAGCTGGCTTCCTTTTGGTGTAGTGGTTAAGGCACCAGGTGATGGTGCGTTGAAATCCTGCCTTAGCCATAAAAGCCATCTGGGTGACCTTGGGCCAGTCACTCTCTTTCAACCCAACTCACTTCATGGTGATGCTGTTGTGGGAAAAATAAGAGGAAGAAGGAGTATTAAGTATATTTGTTGCCTTGAATTATCTGTAAAAATAATAAAGGGGATACGAATAAATAAAAAAAATGGCAGTTTTGTTGGTCCGTTCCCATCAGTAGTTGCTAGTGGTTTCTTAGAGCCATTTGCAGACAATGTAGCAGTTTTGAATAGGAACAGAAAGAAAAACCACCTCAAAGAGCATATTCTTCAATCAAGTACAAAGAGAAGACAAGAAAGCAAAAAACAGACAACTGAATGCATCCTTGGAATTTAAGTGTGATTGCAATAGGTTGCTGTTTAGCAATTAGTGTAATTGCAGAATTACTGGTCTGGAACCAAGGCAGAATATATTGTGACCTTGCTCAAAATCTATCACATAGATTTAACTTCTAGCCTAAATATTCTAGTAACAACAGAGTCCCTCATGCCATATCAACGGTCAACATTGGCATCAGTGCACCAAATATATTAGAACACGAGTCTTATTAGATCAAGCTTAAGGGTGGCCTACCAGATGTTTTCCATAACAGCCAACCAGATGGTTTGAGAAGCCTAAAAAACAAAACATGAAGATAATAGCTCTTCTTTTGCATTTACCTCCTTTCCCTCTAACCCCAGCATTTATATGGGTGATTTCAGGAAGCTGTTGTTTTTTAAAGGTTCTTATTCTTTTAAAGGCATTGATGATAATACCATATTCAAACCTTGTGAACATTTCCGTAATTGTTCTGTGTGTTTTTGAGTGAAACAGTTTTCATTATTCTGAATACTGACAATTTAACTGGATTGCACTGAGCTACACTCTTTAGAGAATTTTATATAAACACTCTCGAAGTCAATCTCCTTTATATACATTCCAATTTCTTAATAATGTTGGATACCTTTTTCTGTGCCTTTTCCAGAAACGCACAGAATTCAAAAATATTCATATCACACATTTATTATTTAATATTGTTTATTTATAGCAAGTCCTTTTAAGTTGTGAGCATACATAACAAATTATTTATACAATGCACAACTTTACCTCAAAACAAACGAATCTGTGCTTCTCCGGAATATGATACAATAATAGATTTTTGCCTACCTCAGCAATATCTGAAACTTTAAGAAATTAATCCTTACTTGGAAGAACTGGAATAGAAGAGTAATCAGTCAAAACTGCTTTCCTTAAAAGATTACCAGTATTTCCTTAAAAGATTACTTACTAAGCTTGCAACTTTCAACTCTTCTGTCTCAAAACTTTAAAAAGTATAGTAAGACTCAAATTTTAATATTTAACCTCTTACCCTTGGGTTAATCCTACTAACTTGAATATAAAGCTGAAAGACCAACAATGCCATCAAATATGAAGGTATCTTACCTTTTTTTGTTAATATTTCATTAGCATTTATTTTGATAGTGTACTGTAGTATGTGAGAAATCACATAACCTGAGAGGACCATTACATTACATTCTGAGACTGTCTGTTTACAGCAGCTAAAGGATCTCAAAAAGCTAAACAGAATCTACGTAGGTAGAACCTGAATGACAACCCCTACAAAATGCCAGGGTTACTGAAGTTAAGAAAACATCCTGGAAGAATATAATAACAAATGACATGCACATTGTTGCCATGTAAGTTATGCAAGTATAAAGTAACTAAACATTGAGCTTGACTTGAGGGCTTCTACCTTATCATTCCTTTTTTTACTTTCTGTGTTGGATTATTTTACCAGTACTGTACATTATTTTGGTATTCCTTGCTTATTCATGGGCAAATTATCTGGGAGACTTTTTATAATTTTTTTCAGATGTGCATGAAACTTATCCTTTTCATTACTGTTGCTCAGAACTGATTTGTTCAATAACACTCCAATATATCATTCCTGTTAATCACTATCAGTTCAATTCTTGTTAGTAACGTCATTTTCTGTATAACCTAATATGCATTACTTTGATATTAACAGTACTTATCTGACCACATTTTTCACTTCATTGTATGTATAACTTTCCTGGAGCATAATCTGTTGATTTCTGTTTTAGCAGTCTAGAAATGCAAAATGATTGGATCTTGCCCCAAAGAATTTATAATCCTTAATTCAACATAATGGAGACATCAAACAAAAGAGAACCAGAATTTAATAGACAGGAGCCACAAGAGAAGAATATATGCAGTATATTTCTATTAATTCTGACGCAGTACCATTACTCAGTTTTTTAAATGTAACAACCAAGGTTGTTTTAAATTGAAGAGACTGACAGTCATTTCAAAAATTAAATAGTCCCAAAAGATTATTAACAGGAAAGTTCCCTAGATATTATAGAAAAATAAATGAGTAACTTCCATGTTGCCAGGAAGAGCAATATGCTACAGCTGTAAACCAGATTATAGACATTTGGGTTTTTAAAAATATTTTGATCAGTTGATATAGATTTGGTCAACATATTCCTTTACATGCTTATTCCTTTTTTCTCATTTATTTTAATTCTTCTGATTCCTTCTTCCATAAAGCAAAGGAAACAATTTCTGGATTTAATATCAAAGCATATAGTATTGTTGGTTCAATTTTTAAAAATTATGCATTTTTCCTTTCCTTTATTACAGTTTATACAGAGAAACACTATAAATGTCTTGCTTGGAAATATTGGCACTTGGAGAGCTAACGCCTCTTACAGGTCTAGCTAACTTTCCTGTATTTAAACAGATTGGCAATTTAAAACATTTCTTCAAGAGAACCTCTTCCAGTTTGTGAACCTGGTCTTTCATAGATAGAATAATCCTATCCAGAACAGACCAATTTATAACATCACCTCAAACTTTGTTTTGACAAACACCTTCAAGTTCTCTGAATATAAACTTAATTAATCTACATACACCATGATTGAACTAAGGCAATATTCATAAAGAGTACTGTATAAGCAGTTTCCTTGGTGTCTGAGGACCAAGAATGAGTGATCTTGTCATTTTCTACCTCAGTGCTCTATATATTCTTTGACACACAGCTACCGATATGTTTAGAACTATCATTGACTCCTCTGTTTCGGATTGTACTGGCCTGTAAAAGTCCTATTCTCAAATTTCTTGATTGTTATGCTAGCTTTATTATGCTAGCTTTCACGTGTCATACTTCCCCCCCCCCTTTCATTCAATGTGTCCATTGAGACTGCCTGCATTATTATTATTATTATTGGTGATTGATGTAACATATAATGGTTTATGTAACCTTCCATAAAAAAGACTTTGAGAATTCAAAGTATAACCTGATTAAAAAATTAAATATTTTTAAAGAAAAGATTTTGAAGGGGTAGTAAATTGCAGAACTAAAATATTACCAAAGGGTTGATGAGGCAGATTTCCCTTTTAAAAAGCCATGCTGATTCTTCCTTGTCTGAATTTTTCTTTCTTCTATATATATTTACTTATTCTTGCTTTAGTTATATTTTCTAAAAGTTTAACCAGGGCAAACCTTAATTTAACTTGCCTGTAAAGTGTTGGCTCACCCACTCCTATTACTTTATAAACAGCTGGATTATGCAAATTTATCTTCCTTTAATTGACTGGATTTCAAGGGAGATATGTCTTTGCATTATAATCATAAACAAATAGTATATACCAGGACTCTCTAAGGTTGGCAACTTTAAGCTTGGAGGACTACAACTCCCAGAATTCCCCAGCTAGCAACACCAGGGGTCTCCAAACTTGCCAACTTTCAGACTCCCCGAATTCTTCAGCCAGCCATTAAAGTTGCCAAGTTTGGAGATCCCTGTACAAGACCAGAGATCATGGGGAAAAAAATTCTGAAGTCAACAAGGAGGCACTAACCAATACAGGTAGTCCTCATATAGCAATTGCCTCATACAGGGTCCACTTGCAGTTATGCTGATGAAAAAGTAGCTTGGTGACCAATTTTTGCATTTACAATCTTCACAGGTCTTTAAAGCAAAGGAAAGCTGAAATACTGTAAGCAGTCAAAGTGTCACCTAGCAACCAATTTGCTTAATGACCAAAGTGTTGGTTCCAATTGTGATCGCTAAGTGAGACTACCTGTATGGGGATTATTTGCATGCACAATAAAACATTGCAAAACAATGCATCCTCAAATAGGCCTTTTTTTAAAAAAAAAAAAAAAGAGAGAAATCTGAAATTCACATAATGAATCACACACAAATGATATCCAGTTATTGGAAATTCAAATATTGATCATGCATGTAAACAAAGTTGGATATGATGCTGAACAGAGCTGGGGGCCGAGTTAATGGTTTTTCTCCAAGTATGCAAACCACATTCTTGGTCTTCTAAGCTTGGATTTATGACAGGGCTTCTTCCTATAGGTAGTGTATCTGACAGGGGAACGGATTCTTCCATTACTTCCCACGTACTATTCATCCATTGAAAGGGGAGTTATTGCTTTAACTGACTTGCCCCCCCCCCCCGAACCCAGTTTTCCCCAGGCCCTTTTTTTTTTACTATTCCCGTGTCAACGGGTTCACTCACACGGGTTAGAAAGTTGAAACACGCCACGACTTGTGGTTCTTGATCAGACAGAACCGAACGAGGCGGGGATCCTCGGCTTGCCCCCGTTACTCATCGGGAGTGTTTACCCCCCCCCCCTCCTCAGTCGGACGAGGCGGATCAGGTGAGAGGCCCCCTTCGTAGTCTCGGCGCCTCCAACCTCGCTTCTCCCTTAACGGCCGAGGGGGGCTCCGGCGCCGCAGAGCAGCAGGAGGAGGAGTTGAAAGACCTCGAGGGGTGAGCTATAACTTGTGGGGCGGGAGGCAGAGAGGCGAGGGAGCCGCTGAACCAGCCGCGGGGGGTGTTTGCCCGGCGTCCGGAGGAGGGCTTGGAGTCTCTCCGGCTCCCTTCCCACACCTGCCCGTCCAAGAAGCAGCGCGATCTTTGCTGCCTGCCCCGCCTCTCCCCGGTTCCCCCGAGGAGTCCCCTCCCCCGACCCGCTCAGGGGCTGCTGCGGCGAGTCGCGGCTCTGATAAAAGTTTTTGAGAGAAACCGAGCTTCACAATCGACGGCGAGTGCGCGGGGGGAAGCAGAGCGAAGCTTGCCGGCTCTTTGCCTCACGATGCGCCTCAGAGGCGCCGAGAACCGACGCCAGCCCGGTAGGTCCGCGCCGGGAGACGGAGGAAACGGGGGCGTCCTCCTTGGGTCAAGAATTGGAGGTCGCCCGTTGGAGCGCGGCCGGCTCGAAGGTCCCTGAGCCTCCCGGGGTGAGGGTGGGGTGGGGACAAAAGTCCCGAGGTGAGTTCTCCGGGGGGGGGGCTCGTCGTGGCGGTTCGTGGAAGGGAGCCTTCGCGGCTGCATTTGGGAGTCCCCGGGCTAAGAAGGAGCGAGCTATGCACACGCGCGCGGCCGGCAGCCTCTTCTCGCCTCCATCCCTAACTCGGATAGTTTATGCGCTCTCCGGTTGGAGGGTCGCTGTGGGGAGCAAAGGGAGTCCGGCCTCATCCGGATCACCCACGCGGAGCAAAACATAACGGGACAATCCCGCCGCGTGCAGAGGGTAAGTATGATTGAGGGATAAACATTCGGTAAACTTTCAACGAGGCAGCAGCGAGGGAGCAACCAGGGAGCTCCCTAATATTCCACGCTTCAAAGGCGCTCCCATTTCGGGGACCGACGCAGATAGAAAATTCCCCACCCAACGCCGAATATGTCTATATAGAGTCGGGGGCTCAGTAGTCGGTATCTTTAGTCAACCCCCTGCCAGGAATCGTAGCTCCTCTCTTAGTAAGAGGGAGCGGGCTTCCCCTCAACCTCGCGCCGGATAAGACAGTTCTCCCAGCATGATGAATCTGTCACTATTTTGCTGTTGACAATTTGGAGGGGGGGGGCAGGTATCCATCTATGAGATTGGTTTTATTTATGCCTTAAATTTATATGGCTCTATCAACAGGTATTGTGGAACAGTATACCCAATAGAAACAATTTGGATTCTTTTTTAAATTAGGATGGACATATCTAGTGGATATATAGACATAATTACATTTGATGTACAGAGAGAGAAGGAATGAGCCTCCACTGTAAATTCAGCTCAGAACTTTATGGCTTTTAAAATCTAACAGATGGATACAGTCTGACTTTTGATGAGCTGCAACTCACTGCACCCAGTGCTTTCGCTGCTGCAATTTCTGCACCTGTTTTCTATCCTCACCTCATATTGTTTCTGCAGGCTCTGCTGGGTCTTGTTACTTTAGTAGTGCTCCAGCGCTGGCTGCCTTCAGCCTTTGGTCCCCAATCCCTGGCCTGGCTTGGCTTAGTTCATTAATTACCTAACACTTGGCAGAACTTCCACTTAATTAATACTAATGACAATCTGCTACATGTGCAAAAGAAAAGGTGGCTGCGGGAAGAGCGTGCCCAGTGCTTGAGCAAACAATATTTAGCAAAGAGTGTGTCCCATGTGAACTCTTATACAAAGATGGGAGTAGGGAAAGTGGGGGAGGGGGGATTAACCATCTCCCTTCTAATCAAGGAGCAACATCCAGTTTACGTTGCGGCAAAGTGGGAGTGCAGTGGACACTGTTATCGTCCATTCAGGCGATTTGGTCTAAAATTTCTAGATGTATAATATAATCTCACAACATCCTCTGGTAAAATTAAGAAGGATCCTAGGATAGTATCCTTGAGGTGTTTGAGTTCACATTCAAATTAGAGATGTTAGAAATGATTTTGCAGTGGGAATGAATTCCTGGCCCATCTAAATATTGATGTTTGAGAGTGGACCCTGTCATGGCTGGGTTTACTGTCAATATTATTCTTATCAATATACCATTTCATACAAAACTTTCTAATGTGTCAGGAGTATCAGATAATAACCTTTGGTGCTCTTTGTAGCAGGATAATGGAGTGACAGCAAAATCCTAACCAAGTTGGTAGCTGATGTTTTTTTTGGCACTGTTGAGTGAGCTGTTCCATTGACATCCTTAGTGAGAGCAAGGGTGGAGTTTATAAGGATCTGATCATAGGGATATTTCAATGTATCCTTTCTTCATTGTCAGGTAAAGTCCAGATTTACAGCAATTTTATCAATTTTTTTAGCCATACATGAAGAACAGATTTTGTTTTGTTTGGTTTGGTTTCTAGAAGTAGTTCTGACCTCTGAACTTTAATCCTGACAAGAATGAGAAGGTTTAGGTCATAAGCCCATATTTTTGCTAAACTTGTTTTCTTCTTTTCAGCTGTGACAACATTTTGGTTCTTTTTAGCAAATTCTTAGAAAAGCTGCCTTTGAGCCAATAGTTCCCTTTTAATTTATTATTTGGTTTTCTAATATGAAATGGAGCACTGACATGACCTTAAAATTCCTTGAAAGACTTTTTCCTGTTTCTCAAAAATCGAGTCCCTGCCCCTCTGTCCCATTGTAGCATGGACTGGAAATTTTGTATATGTATTTATGTTATACACCAATGTCTTTCAAAAGGGAAAAAGTGGAACAAAATTATGGAAAGGTCTAGACTGGTTTTAATACTAAAGCTGTACAGTAATACATAGTAAATAAATTATACAGAAATATAAGTATTCATATTATTTGTGAAAAATAGTATATTAGTTATTATCTGATAGGTATGCCACTTTTTAAAGGACTTTTAATTATTTGAACAGTTAGCATCAGGGATTCCATGTCTGGGACGTAACATTAGCACACTCTCTCTCCTTCTCCCTCCCTTCCCCCCTCTATATCTGTCTCTGTCTGTCTGTCTGTCTGTCTATCTATCTATCTATCTATCTATCTATCTCTATCTATCTATCTATCTATATCTATATCTATATCTATATCTATATCTATATCTATCTATATATCTATCTATCTATCTATCTATCTATCTATATATCTATATCTATATCTATATCTATATCTATATCTATATCTATATCTATATCTATATCTATATCTAT